CACTTCTTCTTCTCCAGTGTTATACACCATCTCTCTGCAAACCTCTGAAGCTTCAATATCCGACCTTTCACAGTACCTATAAGCCCACACAAGTCCTTGATACTGACCATCGACAAGACATTGGGAGTGTAATCCTTTGACGACAATACATCTTTATACTGGAGTAGATCAATATCTTCTTGGGTACGGAGCATGACAAGGCAGGCATGGAGCTCCTGGGACTTGGCAGGGATGGGGGAAGATGGTGGAGGGGAGGAATGAGGAGATAAAGAATGGTGGCGGCGGCGGGGGAGGAAGGAAGAATGATGGTAGAGCCCATGTGTACTAACATAAGTCTGAGCCTTGCACAATCATCAAAAGTGTCTTAAATGGGTCAGCAGATGATGACATATATGACCTCTGAGTAATACAAAAGTCTTGAGTAAATAAAAACAATAAACATTAAACTAATTAAAAAACCAGGCATCGTGCTTGCCATGCTAGGTATAGCAATGGCCTCTCCCCCCAAGTTCTGATGTGGTTGTGACATCATCTCAAGACTCCCCATTGCTCCTGGATGATCTCTCTACTCTGTTTGGGCCTACATTAGTGGCTCCTGGGATACAGATTGGCTAGTACTATCTACTCTCCTAATAGTCTTCCCTTTCTTCACTGTGCCAGTCATCCTCACATCTTCATGCCGGTTTCCTCTATCCGTTAACAGTTGTATCTCCCTATCATCCCTACTACCTCCAACACTCTCTGGCTCGTCTTGAGCCTCAAGTTGATACTCTCTATCGATTGCCCGGCCTTGACTTCGCCTCTTTCACACCTCCACCTCAGCTATCACCCCAGCTCTTGCCTCTGGGCAGCTGTCGCTATCTCCTTCTCCCTGGTGCCACCTTGGCCTGGAGCCATAGGTTAGATGACATACACATCACCTTCTATCATCCTCCACTCAACTCTAGCTTTCTGGATCTGCCAGCACCTTGGATTTCCACAGCTTTCACCTCACTTCTCCTCCTCTCCCCCCCTTGTAATGTTTCACCTTCGCGTTTTCTATCCACCATTTATCTCCCCAATCTGATTACACCATCGCGTAGAGCACGATCCGAGGATTCCGTAGTGGTCCAGGTTAGCAGAGATTGTGTGGGAATTGGCGGAGATATTCAGATTTTGGTGGAGAGGGTTGGAGAGAGCTAAGCTGGGACAGATGGGCTGATATCTCGGGATCTAACCGTTCGTTTCTCATGTGGTCTCTTTCTCCCTACTCCTTCTATATACACCTACACTTACCCCAGATCACATCCAGATCCATCCATCCGTTCCTGAGATACACTCCCGTGTTTCTTCCTCCCTCCCTCCTCCTCTCCCCCAACTTCTTCTTTCCTTATCTCTATGACTTGCAGTTCGTTTCCCACGCGGTCCTCAATTCCCACGAGCCCTATCTACCCCCTACCCGCTCCTATCCTCGCTTTTATTCTACAATGTCTGGTTATGTCTTGGCGCTGTCCCCAACGACGTCCACTTATTCTCCCCCTTTTTTCATGAATATCTTTGGCATTTATGGACAGATTTCTTTCATTCTTGTTATATGTTCTTCATGCCTCTTACGACACTGTTCATGACCATTTTATGACCTTCTAGTGCTCTTGTTTCCCTTTATTTCTCAGCTTTTGCTGTGTCTTCCTTGTTCGTCCTCTCCTTTCTTCCCTTTCACCCCTTTCACCCCTTTCAGTTGTGCATATTGTCTCACTCTGGCTGATCACCGGGATGATGACCTTAAAGAGGGGGGTAATGTCATGACCTTCCGTCATTTCCATCCCTTTTCCATTATTTCCTGGTGGGTGCCACAGTTAGGCCACACTTTTCCGAGTTTCTGTACCACTGTGGCCTGGGTTTGATTGTGTTTGGTTCTGGCTAGTATATAAACCTACCTACTTCCTGTTTTGTACTCTAGTCTTGAGATTGTCAATCTCCCCCTATACAACCTTTTCCTCGCCCTTGGTGTGTGTTTCTGAGTGAGAGATTGCCTGTCAGCAACCCCTCTTTGTAGGACATGGTTGTTCTGGTGTGGTCGTGACAATCATGGATCTGAACTATTAAGTGACCCTGCGAGTGCAATTGTATATACATAAGGTGGTTTCTCTCGGTCCCTTATTCTATCCAGCCTTTTCTACTGTTTTCTTTTTTTTTCCCCTCCTTTTTCCCCCGGCCTTCCTCTGCTGGAGGTTCAACTTCAGGGCGAAGACCTTGTGAGAGGGTCAGAACGTCGGAAGGGAGGCTATCATGATGCAAGAATCTGCTTATACTTCTCTTGGGGTAAGGAAATGAGCTGCCTTGTCTACCTCGAAGTGAAAGGGCCGGCCAAGGAGGCAGATTTTGTGTGCCTGGCTCGTCCGTCGAACTCCTTTATAACATATTGCATGGCCCTCCCCGTGACCTTTATTTGATACCGGGCCCTATAGAGGATGAGATGCTCCTGGGTGCCTTGAGAGCCACACACCACGTCTGAGCTGGTCCGTCGAGAGGCTTGGGTCGCCATAGTCTGTGTCAGAGTCGACGTCGTAGCTGGTGGTTACGCCAAACTCTTCATCTGACAAGTCTGACACGTCAAGGGCTTTAGCTACCAGGTGTTCAGTCGTCATGTCTCCGACCTGCTCATAGAACACGTCCACGGGATTTCGAGGTGTGCTGGGGAGGATGGTAAGCGATGGAGGTGTGCAAGACGAGGGCTAGGGCATCGCGAGTCCATGAGGTCACCAACGAAGACAAGATAGACAGAGATAAATAAACGGACGCACCACACAGTTCCTGGGCAGTGATTCGTAGTAGAACTGTGGCCTTTCAGCCTGCCGAACCCTCTCTCATCAGTCTCTTCCGGGAATCAACATTCGAGGACGGGCCTACCTCTTTGATGCTGATTTTTCTTATATAGCATGGTGAAGAGAGTAGTCCAGAACTAATAGGGTCTGATCTCTCCTGAAGAGCAACCGGTCGAGTGAGCTACCGAACAAAGTGGATTTTCCCTGGTCATGATGGTGGATGACTCACCACCAGTTGGCTAGGTTCTGGACCTTCTCCCTCATCGTCGTCAGCCTCCCCCGCCTCTTGTGGTGAGCTGTTTCTTCCGCTTGGTGCCCGCTGTGAAGCAAGAAGAGGGAATCAGAGAGATCAGAACTTGGGTAGATGAGTCAACGGACATTTCTGTCATCTCCGTCCAACCGGTCCTCATCTTTCGTGATGAGACGACTCTTGCAAAGGGGAGGCCTTCCACGAGCACGCCTCTGCAATGATGAGAATCGCTGTCAGTGTTACGTAGCAATATGGAGAAATATGCTGACCGTTGCAATGGCCTGTTCACAAAATGACATATTGAGAAAAGCGAGACACGAGGAAGAGAGATGAAGACGAAGAGCACGTACATCTCGTGGTTCCAGAGGATGCTCTGTGACCTCGAGACCCGGAGCTTCCTCGTCGCTGGATATCTCTGTGGCCTTTCTCTTCTACAAGGAACGACAGTGTGCCAGATGGGTGCATGTCATAGATGAACCCACCTCATCCTCTTCAACTCCCGGACATGCCTGCCATTTTACACCGTCCAAGCGCATGAGAAAGCGTGGAAAGACCTGAAGGGAAAAGGGAGAGCGACACACTTGCGAGTTGGACCATCGCTGAGGTGATATCGGGTCATCCATGTCGAGAGCTTGCAGCAGTGATCATGTTTTAGGGAGCGATGCTTTAATGCGTGGAGAGGTCTTACCGGGGGCGTGGTGAGACACCCGTTCGAGGAGTCTCAAACCGGTAGCGGATCGCGAGAGGATTCTGAGAAAGATACGCAACGAGCAGAGCTCGAACGAATGAACGCCCACCCCTCGAGGGTGCCTCTGAGGGGGTGAGCGTACGAGAGTGAGACGAAAGCCCAAAGCAACGTGTAAGACGCTTTCGCGTCCGAACACGTGGAAAGATGTGGGTCCGGATGTATTCGATATCCGACCCGAACGTGAGCGCCAAGCGCGAGTTGCCGAGAGAGGTCGCGCGAGTAGTCTCGAGCGCGAACTCACGAAGCAAATATTCGAGAGAAAAAGCAAGAAAAAGCAAGAAGATAGTATTGATGATGATCCGCCACCATGCGGTGGCCTCGTGAATATATACATAGGAAACGGAGTTCGAACCTAACTTCTACAACTATATATCTGAGTAGACCCGGGACAGCGGCCTGAGGATGTAGTGTGGCCCGAGGCGCCACACGAGCGTTCACTTACTCCGATCGTGTGGCCCTCGACAAGAAACCAAGAAGAAAAGATAGAAAAATAATCCTAGACTTATATAGAGTGTTACA